TGGCTGAGCGGGAGATAACGTAAGAGATGGCCGAGCACCACTCCCACCGGAAAGGGTGAATGAATTCTGATATTTGGTTTGCGAAGAAACGAAGGAGTTCGGCGGAGCCGCTGGCACCGTCTTCTTCCACTCTCCTGTGACCTTCCTCTGAAGCAGCAGGCCCCGTGGTGTAGCCCAGACGGCGTCAACTTCAAAAGGCAACGGCACAACATGAGAGTCGCCGTTGACAAAAAATACGTGAGCTTGGGATTTCAAAACCACAACCAATGCTCTACGTAAATTGCTTTCCACATATCCATCGCCAACAGCGAGTGTAGGAATGGCCCCCGATTGTGACGCCACCTTGCCTCCTTCCTGGAGACGCTTCCTCCCTGTTAGATTGTTTTGTAAATCATCATTCGCTGCAGCAATTCCATTGCGGGATGGGTTTTCGGCAGTTGGGCTCTTCCCAAAAGTCCTTGTACTTTCTCCTTCAATCGAGCTAGCTGGGAATGTCGCAAATAAGGCGTCAATTATTTCCTCCTTCTCGATATCAAAGCTGAATGACCTTTTAACTACCCCGCCTCGAGACCAAACAACGTAATTATTTGTGAATATTATCTCCTCCTCCAGTAGACTTCCAGTTCCATTATCGACAGCGCATATTTTCCAAACAAACTGGTCGTCAGAGGGGTTTGCCGGCAGCTTCGACTCGGCCACGAGGTATGGTATTGCAACGGGCTCGTGGAGGCCCAGAGAGCGGACTGAGGCCATTATTGGAGGCGGATCGGTAAAATTTCCCCTGAAGCAACTCCGGCCGGTGAGGATAGCATTTGGAGCATACCCATTCTCACGTCAAGGAAAGAGATTGTGGTACTGAAGCTTCCGGGCTGGGCGAATGGCGGTTGTTGGTTGTTCCCATGGCTGTATTAAATATTTTCAGGTGTAAATAGACGCGAAGCGCGACTTCTCCAAACCTTGTGGCGAACTCCCAACTACATTTTAAATAACATTTCACCAGCTAACAGAACACTGAACGCAACGCAGCCAACAGGTTGTAATAATCCTCTAAGAACCGCTACACGAAAAGCTCAATCACGATTCTCACGACTCCTTATTTCCTTTAAGAGAAATGACAACAATTCCGTGCGCTTAGCCATCGACCCAGCTACCCAGTGCGATTCTTTTCACGCAGATATCTTGCAGAGGGTCTTATCCTAAGCTCTCCTCTTTCCAGCTGGCAAACAAGGGGGACAAAGAATGTCGAGCCTTTCGTTCGACCCTGTTGTCCGACAGAGAGATAATGGATGGCAGCTAAGGTACCTCACAAAAATCTAAGCTATTGCATCACTCCAATTTCCTTGACCTTTAAACCTAACGAGAAAAATAGTTACCAGCTGCCGCATCGAGTCTACGATACGAAAACCTATCCTATACAATCTTCTAATGGCTCTACTATAATAATATATGGCCACGACCTTGGAATTCGGATCTTGTGGAGAGGTGGAAGAGCTTTTAAATCACAGCAGCCTCAGGCAGAGGAGCAAAAACAACCAAAGCCGAACGGAATGTCAAACGAGGACGTTATCATGATAATTGACTCAGATGAAGAAACACCTGCCCCAGAAGCTAAAAAATATAATACACAATCTGTGGAATTCGAAGCCGAAGAGGACGAGATCGATCCCTCGCGCCCATTTCATGATATACTGCGCCATATTGATATCCAACTCGGAGGGAAAGTGCTAGGGCTGGCGGTCCCGACCTTTTCTTCAGAACAGCTCCGATCAACACTAGAGTCGTATCCACAGATATTCTCTAATGTTGCGGTTTTTGCAGCTGCTTGCGCTGATTGTTCTATCCGACTTCTCACCATACCCCTGACACCTCCTTCAAACCCTGAAGATAGTTCAACGTGGGGGCTTCAAACCGTTACACTGAGCGCTGGATCCATTCAGGCCATTCCAGTAGGAGTTGCCATCACTGTCACTGCGCGAAAGCCGGGCAACACTGGTAATCGATACAGACCTCAGAGCCGAACCCACGGCACTAAGGACTTCCCCGATTCCGGATCTGATAACGCTTGGGATATTCTAGTAGCTATAAATTCCGCAGAAGGATCTGGCACTCTTTCGATCCATCGGGTTCCTATCACTTACCAGCCTGACCAGCCCAAAGATTCCCTGATTCTACCACCAGAGCCTGCTCTCCCGATACAGCACCTGCTACTACCGTTTCCAGCAAAATCTATTTCATTCAATCCTTCCCAATATCCCTCAGATTGCCACTCGCATCTTCTTGTATCGTTCTCCAGCGGCAGCGTTAAAATTTATTCTTGCCTGGCGTCACCATCTCGAAAAACCCCTCCTGACAGGCGTGGGCTGTCCAGTGACACCGACCCCAAAGAAGCGGATGGCGCATGGTTAATTACTCTTTCTCCAGAGTTCTGCCAGAATTCCATAGGCATTCCCCGACGAAAACCTGTAGTGGATGCAGCATGGGTCCTTGGGGGCAAGGCTGTAATGGTCCTTCTATCAGATGGATCGTGGGGTATCTGGGATCCAGAGGGAGCAGGCCCTGGGAGCAAAAATTATACGAGTACTTCGCACGATCAAAATACGTCGTTCACTAGAGGCGGTTCAGTGACATCGTTTGCGGTCTCTGGCTTTATATCCGGACCTGTACCGACCTCAAAGCCACCTATATCGGGAGCAGTCACAGACACTCGATCCAGTTTCGCACCTATGACTCCATCAACCCGTCGTCTCAGAGAAGACACTCTCTTCAAGGGTTCTCCAACTAACACCACATCAGCATCCTCAACCAGAGGTGGTATTTCGGTAACTATGACCAACATTTCAAAGGACGGACTTCCTGATGAATCGATTCTCATCTGGCATGGTGGTCAAAATATACGGATTCCCAGTTTACTATCTCTGTGGCGAAACAGCGCCAAACCCACTGGTCCATTCAATCCTTCAAGTCGCTGCAGACCAATTCCAATTGACAATCTCAACCTCCTCGGAGAAACTCAAAATGGAATCACTCAGCTGGTCAATATTTCATCCTCGGCCGATAAAGGGGGCAACAAACCTTTAATCCCTGATGTTTTGATAACGGCCGAGCATCAACTCATCATACTGACACCGAAACCATCAGCACCGGGACCAGCGGAATCTGAATCCGCCTTCCAAAAGGTCCTGAACGATTCAGTTGAAGGTGACCAATTTATGCTAAGGAAGGGAGAGTTGGATCTCGAGGGCATGGACAGGGTTTTATCTGGTATGGCAGGAACCAGACGGCCAATCGACGCGTTTCGGAGCCCACAAAAGAAGGGAATATTCTCCTAGGCATGTCTGCTCTTATAGATGCCCCATGGTCTATCTGCCTTCAACCCTTTGTCTCGGTTCCCCTTCACTCTGTCGTCAACACCGAATCCAACGAATGTCTTCATAGTCTATGAAACCGAAGAGCAGAACCCAAACCAAATAGCTCCTGTTTAGAGCCCAAATACATGTGCGAAAGAAATACAGTTAATGATTTTTTTTTTTTTTTTTTTTTTTTTTTCAATTTCCCCTTCCATCATCATCTTCCTACTTCGCAACCAGTCAAACCAATCCTTCAATTCCTTTTGGCCATTTTATATCACCTTCTTTCCCCTTCATCCTTCCCCATTTCGCTACGCAAGGTGGAGCACAAGGCGAGATACCATGTCTTGAAATTTAACCACGCACAACCCATTCCTTCGCCCGTCACGCAAAGTGTCGTGTTGCAGGTTTTGTTTTGCGGCGGGGTTAAATAGGCTCTGTATTCGAAGCGATACATCAAACAGCCCCCCTCCTAAATCCCCATACACACGAGTCGATGAGTCGACAAGAGGGAAGTGAAGGGCGTCTTAGGCTCGAGAGCGTGATCAGATTGGACGTCACGGAGAATGATGGGAAGGGGGGAAAATTGGGTCGTTATTTTTTTTTTCGCCCTGAAATTCCCTACTCCCATTTTTCTATCCGCGATGTCATTGCTTTCAATGTCCTTTTCTGTCTTGCTTCTCGGCTTGCCCTTCTACTCTCCCTGTATTTGACATGGCTAAGGGGAGGGGTACATCTCCGTTTATTTTTTTACCGTAATTATGATGCTGTATCTTAAGTATTAATTATACGAACGGAGGGTAGGTATTCCAGGGCAGGTAAGGCTCAGAGCAAAGTAAAAAGCGAGTAGGCCGGCATGTAAATTGCTCGACAGAGTACGTAGAACCGATGATAATGTAGTTGATAAGTATAAATTGAAGAGATCTAGGGTCATAAAGCAAAGAAGTTTGATTTTCTCTTTTCCCTTATTCCTGTATATCTAATGCCTTTAGTTATGAGGCTTCTGCCACAAAACAAACCGAAGGAAGGGGGGGGGGGGAGCGGGGGGGGAGCGGGGGGGGAAGAATCCATACAATAAAAACACAGAGCCCTGACCAGGAAAAAAAGAAATGCTATGATGATGGAACCCAAGGGGGGTATCAAGCGGGAACGAAATGTAAACACCAGCGAAAACCAGGCGGAAACAAGGCACACAACATATTGAAAGAGGCTATGCCGCATCGCAAACCCAAACAACATAAGAAATGAGGGGAATATTTAGAGAAGAAGACCGGAAGGGGGGGGGGATTTAAGCCGTCAGATAATTCGAAGCGGATGCCCCCAAAATAAAAGGAAAAAGAAAAGGAAAAAGAAAAGGAAAAAGAAAACCGAGAACGAATAAAAAAGGCGATATGACAAACCCAAGGCTAATCATGATTGGTATATAACCTAGCAATGATATGTTTATGTAGTAGTAGTAGTAGTAGTAGTAGTAGTAGTAGTAGTAGTAGTAGTAGTAGTAGTAGTAGTAGTAGTAGTAGTAGTAGTAGTAGTAGTAGTAGTAGTAGTAGTAGTAGTAGTAGTAGTAGTAGTAGTAAAGTAGTAGTGGTGATGGTGGTGGTGTGTTGAGTGAAAATGAAAGCAAGGACGAGGGAAAATCCCACCACCCCCATGCATGCCTTGTCCTGCCTTGTCCTGCCTTGTCCCCCTTCTTCTGTTTCCGTTTCCTAGGAGGCGTCCGCGCTCATCCCAACTAGCTCCCTTCTCCCTCCCAGGTGTTTCCTTCCTCCCTATTCCCATTTCCCGATTCCCCGATGATAAATCAGTCAATTCAGTCATGATATGTTTATATACTCCATGCAAGGTGCAAGAGAGGTAGTAAGTAGAAACAAAAAGAACCAACAAGGTAAAAGAAAATAAGGGAAAAATGAGGGTTGGAAAAATATAAGGAATGTACATGTACATGTACATGTGTGCTAATGAAGAATAGTGAAGAAAGGAAATACTGACACCGAAATTTGACTCCCGGCACAACAGCTTTATATTTACCTGACGAGGGGTTTCTTATTTTCTATTCTCTCTTTTTTTTTTGAACGAAGAGTCACAAAAACAAAAGAAATTTAATGGGAGTCAAGCCCGGAAAGACAGGTGTATGATAAAACCGAATACGGAGTGTTCAAACCAGAAAACTGCAGGAGAGATACGGAAAACACGATAATTTGCGAGAGGAGCAATAGAACATACATGCCCACCCTTATCGAGAGGATAAGCTGAGTTGCAGATAATAACAAGTAGGCAAAAATAAAAGAAAGAAGAAAAAAAGAGGGAGGGTTAATGAGAGTTATAAAAAAGTTTCTCATACTTTCTCTCCCACAAGAGTTAGACGAGGTAGTAAAAAAAAAAAAAAAAAAAAAGAGGTAATGGAATGCTTGTGCGTGCGGCGCGTGCGGTGAGTGTGTGGGGGGATATCATATGGGGTCCTCTTGATAAAGGGTAGAGGGGCTCGACCAGCGTAACAAACTAAAAATGAAAAGGATCTATATTATATTAAGACAATAAGAGAAATGTAAATGTAATCAAAAGCGGGAATGGTCAGTAGGTGATGGCGATGGAGGCTGTCGTGGGAAATCATGGGGTGTCGGCGGGAGACTCTTGAATTCTAATGAGCGCATAGCCTCAACCATACCCTCCCGTATCACTACTTTTCCCTTCCCATATCCAATGGATTTCGGAGAGTCAGGTTTGGGAGGCGGTGGAGGCAGTTGAGGAGGGGGCCCAGATGGTCCAGTGGCAGTACGGAACTCGGGATTCCAGACGTCCCCATTGGGGATTTCTTCGTTCCTTTCATACTCCTGTGATTTTCCCCTCCGCTCACTTTTTTCGCTAGGACTGTTTCTCTCGCCCTTACTCCCTGTGCTCCCAGCTTCCCCAACCTCTTCAACGACGGGTAGAGTGGAGGTGACACCAGGCATATCGCTAGAAGTGGCCCGAATGGTACTTAAGACGTGTTGATTTGGTTCTGGATCAGTTGCGAGATTTCTGCCTGCTTTGGCCGCATCTCGCTCAGCCCTCTCCATGACTCGCTGAATGTCTGATCGTGGGTGGGCGTGAGAAAGTGATGTACCGTCCGTAGAGCTTTGGCCTTGTTCTTTACTTTGCCTCTCCCGTTCAGTTTCTTCTTTCGACATGGTGATGCCTGTGATGAAATTGAGAAATCGCTCCCCGTACGAGTCAGGAGGTATTGGGGAAATTTGGTTTCGATTATGCGAAAGCCCTTTCCAGAAGTGCTCTGCCTTCTTGACCATACCATACTACATATCAAGAATAGTTAGTTTAAAACACCCCGTTAGTGGTCAGCAGCAAGAAGATAAAAAGCATACATGTGTCAAACAATCAATCACACCAAGATAGTATATCTCGTCTCCCGGCTGGCCGGTCTCATGTGTAGCACGAAACCCGCCATCATCGGAATAGAAAGCTAGATTTTTGCGTTCATCAAGTATCTCGTCCGGGAGAGCTGCCGTTTGCTGAATTGGCACTGGTTTTTCCCGTTTGATTATTTCTCGAAGTTCCCTTGCCTTCCGAGCGTTCTCTAATCTTGACGGGGTTCTTGTGAGGAGATTGGGCTGTTGTTCATCACTCCGTTCTCCACCAGGTTGGAAAACTTGAAGGGTTTTATCTCGAACATTTTCAGCGTTCCCTTTCTCCAGGTCATGTATACCCACTAAAAGTGAGTAGTCCATGATCTTTAGACGCTGAAGTAAGGACACGTCCCTCTTAAGTTGGGCTATAAATATTTCCCGTTTCATAGGGCCGAACTCAAGGCGCCGATTTCTTCGAATCCAATTTAGATCCTTCAACGTTGCCCTAGGATTTTTTTCAAGGTCCTCTTCTCGAAAATCTCGTCCAATGGTTGAGCCTTTAAGATCATACATTTGGTGTATGTCTCGATGAGGTGGAAACAAATTATTCATAACAACAAAGTGGATTTTTCGACCATATGCCATCTTTACCCGGTGGAGGCCATAAAACTGGGAGATTAAGGTATTTGGGTTGTTTTCGATGTGTTCGTAGTAGTCGCGGAGGATTCTTCGTAGGAGTTTATGTTCGGCGTGATGGATGGTTTTGATGATGTATTTATAGTCTCGAGAGAAGTAAAAGAAACTACCGCTTTTACCTGGAGAACCCAACTCAGACAATATATACTTGCTTGTTAAGGACACCAAGTAGTCCGCGGGGTCGAGTTTGAATTTCGCACGTAAACGGCGGAAGACCCAGGGAGCGTAGTCCTTGAATTTAAAATCGTATTTGGCGGAGGGCGTCAATTCATTACCAGTTCTATAGAGATGTAAACGTGAGTATAAAGACACCGGGAGAGGAAATATACTTTGCAACCACTTACATGTCAAAAGAAAATTTGTGCTTTGCTTCAAAATCGGCATCGGTAAGCTCGCGGTCCATTTTCGCGTTGGTTCTTGAAACCGTAAAGCGAATCCCAGTTAACATGTTATATGCTGTAACCCAGTTCACGTGGTTTTGATCAACTTTTGTACCGACAATAACACGATCCTCGTCCTCCTCTTCCCTTCGCCTTCGCTTGCTAGCTCGTCGTTGCTTGATCATTTCCGCCCATCGAGCAGCATCTTCTTCTGGAGGAGGCTCATCTGGATGAAGATCCGAATTTAGCGACCGGGTGGTTCTCCGGGCAAGGCTGAGGGAGGGTCGTCGCAGGCCCGACGTCGGTGACGCAAGTCGATCACCACTTGCAATTGTATCTTCGGAAGGATTCACATGGGTAGGTAGGGACAAGTCGCGGCTGTTCTTCCGTGCATTATGAAATTTAGGGACTTGAAGAGTATGACGTTGTGATCGAGGGCTGGTTGGAGGTATGGGGATATCTTTGTCGGTCCGGTTGGAGGCACTAGGAGAGGAATGGCGATAGATAGGTTGTAAGGGTATTGCTTCAGGTAGAGTGAGAATAGCACCATCCATCATCGAAGGCTGCAAAGAGGAAGGCGTAGTAAACTCAGTAGCAGCAGCGTCATCGGAGGCAGTCTGGTCACCGTTCACCAGGGGTTCGGGGCTTGTGGACCTAGGTCTTGACGATGTACCATTCGTCTGATGGGCTACCGCAGTTCCATTCAATACCAATTCCAGCTCAATGTGATCCGTGAAACCATTAGTGAGGCAATCATGGTGTGTCGGAGTCGAAGCGCCATTTCCCTGCTCCTTGTCTCTCGCGGGCCCCGTAGTCACCGAAAGGAGACTTCCGTTTGTCGACTTGGCGGTCTCTTGACCGTGGGGAGAAATAGCAGATCTTGCAGTACCAAGGGCACCCAAAGATGGCAGACTTCCCCCCTTGAAGTTAGTGACAAATTGGTCAGAGGCGTCATCGACACAGCCATTCTCCCCATTTACATCAGGGGTCCAAACGAAAGTATTGCTTATAGAGGATTTGTCGTATGATTTGCGAGTCAAATGGTCGTGGGTAGATGATGAGGAGGAGCCGACTTGGTGATGGTGGTTATGGCTGTGGAGGTGATTGTGGTGGTGGTGGTGAAGGAGCTGAGGTTCGCTGGTAAAGGACGGCATGGTGAAGGGGGAGTCACGGACAGCAGCGAACTGGGGAGTAGCGGTCTTCCTTTGCCACTCTGGAGCAGCAGTGACTTGCGGTGGGAGGAGAGAAGGAGAAGGGCAAGACAGAACAAGGCCGTCGAGACACCAACAAAACCGCTATGGTGCCCTTGCGTCTGAAAGAGAATGGTCTGCGATAAGAAGCACGGGGGGACCGCCTACCTACTACGCTTAGTAGGTGCGGCAGACAAGGCAATGGGACATCAGCATATTAAAGGGTGTGTGCAGCAACAGGAGAGACACAACAAAGAGGAAGCGCTGTCATGTGAGCGGGGACATGTAGCGGAATCCAGCAGCGACGGGGGGTTGTGTATAAACCGCCAGTAGACGGGGAGGTGATTAAGCAGAGTGGCTGTTAGTTCGTAGTTGTGGTGGTTGTGGTAGAGTTGGTAGAGGTATTGGTTGGGCGCTGGAGGTGCTCGTCGTGGTGGTGGTGGTGGTGGTGGTGCGTTGCTCGGTGATGGTGGCCGAGTGGAATTGTACGGAGTAGTTTATCTCAAGTAAAACTCAGCCACTTTGCTTCAGATTGAGATTGTGCCAAGCCCCGCTAACCCCTACATATCCTGCACTAATTCTAAATAGGAAATCGGAGTCAATTCTTTGCAAACCAGACGTGAGAACAAAACAGTTACACAGTGACTTTTTTTTTTTTTGACTTGTTCTCTTTGGATGAGAATAGTAAAACAGCTATATCAATTCAATAATAATTCAGTGCTAGCAGAAAAGCTAGATAAATCAATGACCTTTCGATAAGTGATTTTTTAAGTGTCAGCTCAAAAAAGATCAAAAATCAAATACCATGACATTTTTGAAATATTAAGATAGAAATCATCCACATCTCTTCTATTATATTGAAAAATCTTATAGAGCTAGATATATCCCATATAAACCTCCGAGTATTAATATTAATAATACAAAAAAACTGCATACGATTGAGAGGAAGGGGGTTAGGGGCCGGCAGGCAAGCAGGGAGGCAGCAGCAGCTAGCAAGCTCTGTTCTCATAGAATCCGGCGGATACGAAAGGCAGGGAGGCAGGCAGGCAGGCAGTGGCAGCTAGCAAGCTCTATTCTCATAGAGATCTCATGGATATGAGGAGGCAGACTCTGTATCTTCTTAATGTTAGTGCAAAACTCTCACACAAGATATTCTAATGTCACTCATCTTCAAATTATAGTATCTCAATGAATATATATCATTAAAGTTTCTGTGATAGCACAAAATGAAGCTAGAGAGATGAAGAATCTAAATATATCATTATAATAATTGATGTATGAGATTGAAGAGGATGATGTTTTTTGTATGAGAGAGGGCTGAATCTTTACATATTCTTTTCTCAGACTCTACCATACTGTGTATACGAGATTTTGAGTTGTTCTGAAGATCTGAGGCTTTCTATTGGTTGATAATATTAGTGGCAGATTCCAAAGAGGTTAGTGACTCGCTAATCCAAAAGTAGTTAGTATGAATTGGGCTGAGCTGAGGTCACGGGGGGGCGTTGTGGCTGTTCAGGTTTGGCGCGGGTCGTTCGGGGGTTAGCGCAGGTGCCAGGTTGGCAGTTCGCAGCCAATCTGCACCCTCGCCTGTCACATCCGCCTCACCGGGCTCTACTAACCAGGAACCACCACTATAAACCACCAAACTAACAAACGGGGCAGCACGGCAACCCTATTATGCATAATAATGCAGAATGCCCCGCAAGCCACAGCAGCCGCCCCATAGGCTTCGCGCATTTGTGCTGTGATGGATGCGGCAAGGCGAATTATTAATAATGAACGGTGAGGGCTGCGATTCCTCTAGCCTCCGCCCTCCTCCATCTACTCCGTGCTGTAAATTGTAATCTCAATCGCTAATAAAAGCCCAGCAAACAGCGATCTCTATAAAATATCAGGGCTAACCGGACCAACTCACATTGCGGAAATGTTTGCTGCGCCGCAATCGACAGGGAAGATAAGAATGTCGGGTGCGCAGCAGCACTGCTAGGACCCCCAAGCCTAAAACCTCCAGCAGACAAGACACTGCGAGGAATCATGGCAGACAGCAGATCTTAATGTTTTCGGTCGATCATAGGTCTGGCATTCGAAGTGGTATCCTAAAGTAAACGGCAAAACAGCACAAACCCCTACCGGCTCTTCCTCGATCTCGATATCTATCCCCTTTCTTATTCGGATTCCTAGCAGGCTTTCCGAACAACTCGAGGTTCTGTCTGAGACAAGCAGGAAAATTGGAAATTGCCAATCCAACTCATGCCTAGGCGCTAGTTTGCCAATTTTCTCTCGTTCACCCTATCGTTAAGTCCAAGCAATGTGGATGTTCCACAGGTCAGTACTGTTGTAGTGATCATCACTCAGCAAAACATTTGTTCTCCAGCTAGCGACTTGTTAGTTGGCAAATAGACAGTAAGGATCTCCAAAGATTCTTCTGCAGTTTCCATCCATTATTCAATGCTTCTTGGCTCTGATCAGTTTCTTCGCGGCTTCCAATGCATCATTTCAGCTCTGCCACACTTGTGCACATTTTTTTGGGCCAAATGCACCTGGTATGAATCTTCCATTCCCTGCAGGCTCGCACACACTAAAACGGTAGAGAATAAAACTTGAATACGAAGCAACATCCCGAATCATCACTATTATTGTTTTGTTCTCCTCGAGACCGACATTCTGCGCAAGGAGAAGAGCGAACACGCGTCACCTTGAGCGTTCCTCGTGTGGATAGGGTTGATGATGCTATTGACCGCAAACCTCCACAACTTGTCTAAAAGTAGAACAGCCTCTACTCGAAGTCGCGGCTCTCCGGTCAGCAATCTGTGGGCTCAAGAAATCCATCATCAGTCAAGACCACAAAAAGTGGCATCCGCGGTATTCAGTTGAACTAGCTTCCGCAACCCCTAGACAATCTCAGTCAATCGTGATAGTTGAATTTTCTATATTCATACTACTGTTCAGCTAGAAAAAAATTCCCATGGAATTTTTTTTGCTTGTCAATCTTTTCCCGGGTTTTCACCTCTGGAAGGCAGCACGCCAGACCAGCAGCTCCAGCCCGGGTACGGCTGGTGTTGCTTGTCACTTACTTCCCATCCTCAATATATTATTGACATAAAATACTATCCCAGGATGCAATTGTCATTGCTACTTTGTAACAATCGCATGAAAAAAGGATATTGCTATGGAAATCCCATATGTTGCGGATTGAAAATGAGCAGTACGGATCCGTAACTAAGTAGATCAATATTTCTTATTTGTTCTCTGCTGGCGGATCGTCGCAGTCTCAAATTTCGGATATCCTACCACCTAGGAGTTCACTACCACTAAGGGGGGGGGTCTGAGCGCTCAACCGCAAAACGACATATAAACATATATGTTTGCCTAGCACGTTTCGTTCCTGTCTGCTCTGAACCTCTTTACTTTTAATCTTCACTCTCAATCCTCTTCATAATTTCAACTTCTCTACCTCTCTCCCCCCTGATCACTTTCGCATCCCGCCCTCCCGCGCCTCAACCCCAACCCACTACACACCGCCCATACAAAAAGCAAACAAAAAAAATATGAAACACAACCCCTTCCTGCTGGCCCTCTCCGTCGTCCTCTCTCTCTGCGCGCCGGCATACAGTCAAACCGATAACCAAATGCCCAAATGCGCCCTCCCTTGCCAAGAAGCCGTTGAGCGTGTCACAACCTGTCGCAAGGACGACTACAAATGTATCTGCGAGCCGGAGAACTTCAAAAAGATCGCGTCGGAATCGGCACCGTGCGTCTATGAGAGGTGCGGTGTCGCTGTTGCTTTGAGTAAGTTTGGATTTTATATATATATATATATTGATTATACACCTCAAAAAGCGGGAGGTGGGAAGGAAAAGTAAAAAAGGAAGGGAGGGTTACGAAATCAGAGTGGATCTTTCCAGGCTTCACGCTTTGCTAACAAATGACTCTTAACACTACGAAAAATGTAATAATAGGCGAAGTCATGCCCGCCGTAAATGAGATGTGCGAAGCTCATAAGTGAGGACGGAAACGTGAGGGCGAAGTTAGCATAGTACATGTACATGTACATGTACATGTTACATTCATAAAAACTTCAAGGTCTACGTGCGTTTTATCTATCCGGCCAGTTCCAATTATAATAATATAACAACTACAACGGCTGGCTTTCTCTCCCTCTCCTCCCTCTCCTCCCTCTCCCTCAACCACACACCCCCATGAGGGATAGGGATGAAGCGGGACCTAGGCCTAGTTAATTGTTGGAAATTCAGAGGGCGATCAAGAATCCTAAACCTGGGTGTTTTCAGCCGGACAATATACAAGACGACCCGAGTATTTATTTTCTAATTTCCCTTTGATTAAGATGTGTCTGGCTATGGGGTGAGAAGTGATAGCAGCTATCAAATGAAGTCACACTTGTAGACAAGTTCCTTTAATCATTTGGAACAAACAGCTTTTACATTATATCCTACTTGTTTCCAACCAACATGTAAGCTCATGCAAAACCAGGACACAGACAATCAGGCACAATAGGTACATGTACATGTACAATACCCGGAGAAGAGACATATCTGTAATCACACGTACATGTACCTGTACAACGTCCACTAGTAGCTTTAACTTGTAAGGCAAGGGAGAGACGGGGGAGCTTGGAGCTTGGAATTGGTCTGTATGGGGTATATAGTCCAGGTGAAGAGAGACATAACCGGGAATCTTCTCTCTCTTATTATAGAAACACCAACTTTTCCGCGCAAAATGCCCCTGTAAACATGACCTCACGTGATGTCATGTGCACCCCCTTTTGAATTCATGGATGGGATTGAACGGCCGGCTCTGCGGCCTGTACAGCTCTGATTAATCTGATGATGGTGATAGGGGTGATAGGGGGTGGAGGTGGTAGGTAGGGGGGGCTGCGCAAGCAGCAAAGCGAGCATAAGCAAGCATTTGATGTTTGTTATATATGATACACACATATATATATATATATGTATATGTATGTGTGCACGCAGATACACATTTCCCCTGCAGACCAGACCCCCATCTACATCTGAGAATGGTAATACTCAGAAAGGCAATGATGTAGATGAAAATGTCAGTAAGATATATAAAAGATAGAGAGAAGAGATGAAATCTTTCATCAACAAAATTGTTCATTTCTTCATTTATGTACATGATGTACATGTAGTTACAGTGCAACCCCCTGACAGGTCCTTCCTTCTCTGCACCCAAAAAAATGCAACAAAAACAGACACAGTGAAAATTGTGTACTCAAATAGTTAGTTACTCTGAGTCCCTGCCACATGTACTGTCTTCATACAACTGATAAGAAGGGAGTGTTTTATCATAGTAATAAGAAGAATAATAAATAATAATAACGTATTTCCCCTCCACCCCTGTTTTTTGTTCCCCGATATCTACTGTCGTTCCTATTATAATTTATTCCACTCACCACCTGTTCCTATAAAGTAGAACCAACCACCAATCCGTAGATAGATATAAATATACACCATTATAGACCCAGAAGCGCGATCAGAAACCAACAAGAGGTTAAAATACGAGCTATAAATAAAAAAAATTAAAGAAAACACGATAATAAAAACGAAGAAAGGGAGGAACAATTTAAAATTAAGAAAAGAATAAACGTATCCCCTTACAACAAGAATATACAACACACTACGCACTCAACACACTCACTCAGAATAACGACATGGGAAAAATGAAGGGAAAAAAAAGTATTAATAAACCGACAAAACAACAGAATACAAAAAATACTAAAAGACGCAACCCATCCATTTCCATATTTCCTACCTCGACGCCGTTTCGTACCAAATAATAAAAAATGGGTGATTCATGGGCACAGTGGTTCGAAAAATAGCAAACCCCAGGGCTAATCAGAACCGTGGGAGAGAGACACACACACAGAGAGAGAAAGAGAGAGAGAGCAAATATATAAAAGAGAGCCAGACCCTTAACCCATGAACGCAGAACGAAAAGAAGGCATAATAACTACATGAAAAAGGAAAGAGAATAGCAAAACGAAACTATGCTGCTGCCTTCTTCGGTGTTGCCTTCTTTGTGGGGGTCTTCTTGGGTCCGGGGGTCTTCTTTTTCGGTGCGGGCTTAGCGGTTGTTTTTGTGACGCGGCCAGATTTTGTCTTTCCTGTGACCTTGGGAGCATCAACTACTGCTGGGACCTGTTGATTGTGAATTGTTAATATACACAGAAAGCATTGGGATGGAATTGGTATGATGAAACGTACAACTGGGGCCTTGCGAGGCTTAGCAACGTTTGCTTTTGGTTTGGCAGGAGTCTTCTTGGGGGCAGCGGCTTTCTTCGTCGTGGTGGTGGCGGCTTTTGTGGTGGCCTTCTTACCGGGTGTCTTTTCCTTTTTGGCAGCAGCAGGCTTTGCGGCAGCCTTCTTAGCAGCGGGTTTGGCTGGTTCCTTCTTGGCGAGCTTCAGAGGGCCGGATGGACCTGTAGGTGCGTTAGTTTTTTGTTGACAACGGAAGAGACGCGCGTCATGATTATATCATGGACATGGCATCATTCCTCGGCGGAAACTTGTAGGACGCGCCGGGGAAATGATGTTCACACGGTAAAGAAGGGGGGGGGAATAATAAATGGTGCGCGACGAACCCTTTGGTTGAGTGAAATCGCCCTTCTCGACACCAGTCTTGACTGCACGGTTGAATTGGGCATCGAACGCGCTCTGGGAAGTCATATTGATTCTGTTGTTGGCCTGGACATATTTCTTAAGAGCCTGGCGACTTTAGATGAGAAGAATAAACGGTTAGTCTCTCATGTCAACACTGACTGACGCGCACGTTAGTGTCGCAGGGGGGGGGGGGAGAAGGGGGACGACGGCGAGGTCAGTGACGCAACGCCCGAAAAAAGCTTACCTGCTTCCATTGCGTTCCTTGAGCTGTAGGGGGAGTAGAGTTAGCGAAAGGAACCAAGTAGAAAGTGACGCGACAAAGTTGTGGAGTGGAGATAAGCTCCCATGGTGGTTGTGGCCACTCGGCAAGCTAGGCGTCACGAGGGCCTAGAGAACAAGCGACCGTGGCGCGAAGATGATGGACTCACATTAATGATGGCATCCTTGATCATATCTATATTTCGGGAATCAGCAAGGGCACGCGATCACAAATATATTGATGGCAGATCAGGAAGATGATGTGGTGGCGGAAGATCAGGAGCGGAAGACATACCTCTGTAGGACGCATGGGTGGCAGTGGGCTTGGAGGTGACGGCTTTCTTGGGAGGCATGGCGACTGTGGATGATGAGCGTGGATTTCCTTTGAAATTGTGAGAGAGGATGATGCAGTTGATTATCGACGATGAACAGACAGGGTACCAGGAGTACGAGGCGATGAAAGCAGAATGTGGTGGTTGCTGTTGTGGTAGACGGATCGCGATGGAAGTGGGAAAAAAGAGAAAAAAGATGGGAGTTGGGAGTTGGGAGTTGGGCGAGGGAAAGCGTGGGCGAGGCAGCGGGGCAGCGCGCCTTTTATAGCAGCAGCCAGCCCCGAGCAGGATCAACCCATCACATCACCCTTCCCTCGCGTACCGTACGCCAGACGGTTCCCTTGATTCGCACCACCCTGTTGCCGTCTGACGTCTGATATTCTTCTGGCTGCTGCTGGGGGCTGGTCTCGAGCTATCTGTGCTTGTTCTCGTCTCTTCAAGAAAGCCCTCCCGCTTGGTGGGTGAAGCATCACATCACACACCCCTCGAGGGGGTTGGTTGATCTTTGGACGAGGTTGGCTTCCCCCCCTCCTCCTTAGAAAGTAAATCATAAAACCCCACTGGTCTCGCAACTATCGACCTGTATAATAATAATAATAATAATAATAATAATAATAATAATAAATAAATAATAAGAGGTCTTCGTTTTACCTTCTGCTATCTCTACACTGTTTGAAGCACATTTCCAATTACAGAGTATACACCATGATACTTAACAACTGTCTAGCTATGCCATTCTCTTAACTTATAGTTAAGGACAACTACTGATTGGTGGTCCTTGCATGTATGTATTCGTTGGCCGTTGCGGAGTTGATGCCAACCACGCTCAGCTCACTGACAGGTTCATGAAAAAGCTCCCCCCCCAAGCAGCATCTTGAATGGTCTGCGCGGGATGTTTTATGGTTCGCATTGACGGGATAACCACTGGTCTGGCCAGACTCACTTTTCTGTTTCACTCGAAGCGTTGACTTGTTAACAGTTTCAGGCTGTTTGGGATATCATCAACGCGATATCAACTTGCGTCCTTCATTGCTAATTAACATTCCAGTTACAGCGAAAACACTCTCACCTCACGGCAGTTAACTGATATTCTCTCGTTCAAGAGCCAAAAAAAAAAAAAATCAAAAAAAAATCAAAAAAAAATCAAAAAAAAAAAAAATCAAAAACATCAAAAATCAAAAATGTGGACGCTGATGGAAGGCCTAATCTAGGCATATATTGGGCTGCGCATATCCCGCAAGCAGAAACGAATCAGAGTCAAATGGTCGACCATATTTTTTTGTCTTCCATTTTTCCACTCTTCGATGCTCTTTTTCGCCATCCGCTTCCATTCAAGCGCAAACACACAAAATCAATCTTGAGTGGTTGATCTCAAACCTTCCACTGCGTTCTTAGCCTTGATCCAAACCTTGTTGTACCGGCATCATCCCTCTTCCCCTCCCTCCCCTTGACTCCCAAACCTCCTCGAAATGCTTTATCTCTGATCTTTTCCAACACACAACTGTTTTCGGTTCATTTAATAGTTCCTGGCCATATTTACGCCTATCTTCATCATATTTTCATGATTTAATTTTGCAAATACCCGTCGTGGCTGCTACATCAAGATCAGATCGTGACCCAAATCACTCTCTTGGACCCCGTTGGCCCTAACCCCCCTCCTCTCAGGACAACAACAACCACATCGCAAAGCGCGCAAAAAGTATGGAAATTGTTATTGTATTATTAAATAAATACAAACGATATTGTTTTTATGAAATACAAACGATATTGTTTTTATGAAATATCACCCCGTATGCGGTTGAGGATCACGACAAAACATGGATGTCACCCGGTCGCATGCCTACCCTGATCTTTCAACCACCAAACGGGTTCAGACTTCCATATTTTGGCCATAGCTTTTTCTTTCTTTGAAGGATCTATTAGCAAGGAGTTGGATTTCTAGTTCCTTGATTATCATTTTTACTCATTAGATTTTTGTTATTCGTTGTTCGCTCAGGTCACCTCAGGGATGAGAAAAACCGAGGACGCTAAACGACCCTTGGAATGCGCCTGATCAAAAACTTCGATTCGACAACTTCAACTCCCACCAAAGCCACAGGCTCATGTTTTTGATTATTTATCTATTATATCTAAGGATAATAATAGCTACACATATAACAGGCGTTATACGTCGTCTTCTACACAAATCGCGCTTGATTGTTGAAACTGAGGGGTTGGGTGGCGCGTCCTGCTGTCCTTCGGTTAGGAAAGCCCTGGACCACTCGCAAACTGTCCTCCCGCACATTTAACAGAGCAACAACCACCAGAATCAAAATCGAAAATCTAAAATATGATTATCTTTTCTTATTGTTACATGGCCTATTTCGAAATTCAAAAAATCAGTCAAATAATTATTTATATTTGCTGTACCAGGGCTATCTATCCAGTTCACTCCCACTTGCAAAACGACCCCAAAGAAGATTTATTCAGTTGCACTTTTTTCTCTTTCAACCCGAATATTTTCCACAAACCACCCTAACAGACACCTTCAAACAGTCTTACCGTTTAATTTTATCGACTCTAATCTGAGAAACAGATAGCATCCTAAAGTAGTAGTCATAGACCCGGGCGCGCGCTGCCCTGATTCACAAGGTCTCATTGACCATCAATTATCATTCCTTGCCTTCTCCGTGCGTGTGCCCAACAGCAAAGCAACGCTGTAGAATAAATCCATTGATTCTCAGATATCTCTGTTGTAGGCTATCAGCCTAAGAACGGAGATAGTATGATTTTACCCTATCAGGGTGTGTGTGTGATGATGGAAAGCATGAATCCATCGCGTTGTTTTTATTGAGGTTTTTTATTTGCGCGTAACCTGGGGAGGAGAACCGCCACTGCACGTTTTCGGGAGGGATACACGGAATATGTAACTTGGTTGAAATATTATATTATATGA